AACTGTGTATTTGGACATTGTTCCCTAAGTCAAGATTCTTGTCAAGAGCTGGAAAACACAAGGTTTGTTCTGGGATTGGGTGGGCCATGGTCTTCCAAGGGCAGGGTTCCTCCAGAGGTTGCTAGGGGTTCCTGGGGTAATAAGCAATGGCTGCCTCTCAGATGAGTAACCACTGACACCAATGATCTTGAGCTAGAGCAGGGATCTCCATACTATCGAAACAAAGTGCCCTTCAAACTTTAGGGTGACCGGACTGTGGCTGGTGGGAGTAGAAATTGCCCGGGCATCTGTGGGAGTTAGGCTTGGAGGTCAGTGGGAGTAAAAAAAAAGTTACATCATTGGTGTCAGTGGGAGGAATTGTGCCCCATCATTGGTGTCAGTGGGAGGAATTGTGCCCCATCATTGGTGTCAGTGGGACAGTTTGGAGACCCCTGCCCTAGCGGCACCCTTATAATAATTTTCAGGCCTCAAGGCATCTCTGATTAAACCAAATGACTGGTTGTCGGGGCAAAAAATGCCCCTTTTACATTGATAGTCATTGGTCAGAATTCCACCCTTACAATTAGATAAAAAGGTATGGTGTCATGGCACTCGCTCTGCCAGGTGGCATTGCCCCTTGAACTATATAGGCACCATCATAGGCATGTCCTTTAGTACCAGTACCTTTAACCTTCCCCAGAACTAGATCGGCACCGTTGACTGTCCCCAGAGCTTTGTGGGCACCGTTGACTGTCCCCAGAGCTTTGTGGGCACCGTTGACTGTCCCCAGAGCTTTGTGGGCACCGTTGACTGTCCCCAGAGCTATGTGGGCACCGTTGACTGTCCCCAGAGCTATGTGGGCACCGTTGACTGTCCCCAGAGCTATGTGGGCACCGTTGAATGTCCCGAGAGCTATGTGGGCACCATCACATAGTTACATAGTCTGGCTGAAAAAAGACAAAAGTCCATCCAGTTTAGCCATAGAAACAAAAAAGTTAGAATCCTACACCCACAGTTTATCCAGAGGATTGAATGTCCCCAGAGCCATGTGGGCGCCGTTGACTGTCCCCAGAGCCATGTGGGCGCCGTTGACTGTCCCCAGAGCCATGTGGGCGCCGTTGACTGTCCCCAGAGCCATGTGGGCGCCGTTGACTGTCCCCAGAGCCATGTGGGCATCCCGAAATGGGAGGTCATCCAGCTACAGCCAAAGGAAAACCCCAACAATCTCAGGAGGAACCCTAGTTGGGAATGGCTGGTCTACTCGTCTGCTGCGTCTTTGTTGTCTGGTTTTCCCCAGATGGACTTTTATTGGCGAGGACCACCTTTGGGGAGTCCAGTCATCGCCTGTCTGCCGTAAGGACGTACAGTAAGTCTTGTTTAGCCGATTTTTCTTTTTTGCATTCCATGTGACAGAAGGCCGGCACTGCTGCCTCCAGGTGATCTCACCCTCTTGAGGTTTCTCCTTTTGCTTGTTTAGTAACGTTTCCCAGCAGTGAAACATCTGTTGAATCAGTGTGGTGAGCTGCCCTCACATCCTGCAGGGTGAGCAATCAGCAGCCCGCTTATCCTGGAGATTCCTTCCCCCTCCTGTGACTCTGCTTGAGCTGGACTACTTCTGGGAAACTGGTGAGGAACAACAGGAACCCGAGAGCTGGTGAATCCTGCGTCTCGTCCTATAGATCGGCATCTGTATGTAGGAAGTGATGTGGAAGAAGACCAACTTGTCTCAACATGTCGGCCCTCTGCAACCTCACCGAAAACTCACCGTTACTCTATACATTCATAATGTTGAGCTCATCCCAGTCGGGTCGGGTCCAGGTCATTGTTCGATGGTTTTTTAATCGCTTAGAAGCTTCTTAAGGAAGAGCTTGCGTCAGAGTTTCATGTCAAGGTATGAAGTAATGTCAGAGTGACCCTTCCAGGTATTACCTCTGACAAGGATCACATGACGCCCTATGACAATGCCTTCATCTGATCTCCTCTCCAGAAGGATGGCCCCATCTTTGTTCAGGTGTCATCCAGGGCTACCATCCCCATCTTTGTTCGGGCCTCATCCAGGCCTACCATCCCCATCCTTGTTCGGGCCTCATCCAGGCCTACCATCCCCATCCTTGTTCGGGCCTCATCCAGGCCTACCATCCCCATCCTTGTTCGGGCCTCATCCAGGCCTGCCATCCCCATCCTTGTTCGGGCCTCATCCAGGCCTGCCATCCCCATCCTTGTTCGGGCCTCATCCAGGCCTGCCATCCCCATCCTTGTTCGGGCCTCATCCAGGCCTGCCATCCCCATCCTTGTTCGGGCCTCATCCAGGCCTGCCATCCCCATCCTTGTTCGGGCCTCATCCAGGCCTGCCATCCCCATCCTTGTTCGGGCCTCATCCAGGCCTGCCATCCCCATCCTTGTTCGGGCCTCATCCAGGGCTATCATCTACTTCCTGGACTGAGATGCTGAATCAGAGTTGACACCATCGTGTAAATCCTGGAGCCTGTGCAGTTCTTGGCTGTGTTCACAAATGTCTGACACAGATCAGCCCCTGTTGCAATCTCTTGCCTTGTGACTTGCTACAAAGTTACAATGTACAGTCTGATTGCTGGAGGAGTGGAGACTGGGAAAATGCTTCCTCCTCCTTCTACAAAGTTACAATGTACAGTCTGATCACTGGGGGAGGGGAGACTGGGGATTGTGCATTCCTGCAACAGTGAATGGACTGACACAAGCCCAGGCACCAGGATGCCGGTTCTAATGGCCCGGTGGTAATGCGCTAGACTGGCGCGCCCTCTTGGATTGATGACACCATACATGTCTTTGGCACAGAGATCGTCAGACCCGAGATGTCTGAGGATTATATAGGACACAATCCATTCCCTCAGGAGGTTCTAGTCATTGACACCTAATCTGGAACTCCGGATTCTAATTTCATGGACTTGAAGCGGTGGTGAATGTGGGGTGTACTTACTTTTGTATGTGACACGTCTCCATGGTCAGTCATTTAGATCAGAGGTCTCCAAACTTTCTAAACAAAGGGCTAATTGATGGTTCTTCAAACTTTTGGGGGGGGCAAACTGTGGCCAATGGGAGAAGAAATTGTCCTGGTGTCAGCGGGAGGAATAGCGCCCCGTCGTTTGGTGTCAGCGGGAGGAATAGCGCCCCGTCGTTGGTGTCAGCGGGAGGAATAGCGCCCCGTCGTTGGTGTCAGCGGGAGGAATAGCGCCCCGTCGTTGGTGTCAGCGGGAGGAATAGCGCCCCGTCGTTGGTGTCAGCGGGAGGAATAGCGCCCCGTCGTTTGGTGTCAGCGGGAGGAATAGCGCCCCGTCGTTTGGTGTCAGCGGGAGGAATAGCGCCCCGTCGTTGGTGTCAGCGGGAGGAATAGTGTCCTTTTGTCAGTGACAGGAATTATACCACACTGTTGCTGAAAGTGGGGGGAATAATGCCCCAAGGGCCAAATAAACGCAAGCAAAGGGCCACATCCAGTCCCCGGGCCACAGTTTGGAGACCACAGATGACACACGAAGGTTGGACTGGTTTCTTTATTCAACCAGATCAGCTATGGAGCCATGAATACACCACGTCAGGCTCACCACCCCATCTGTAGGCACTGTGTGAATGAAGAGCCGATGTCGAAAAAGTCAGACATTTCCACGGGGTGCGCTTGTGTGTGTATGGAGATATATATATTACTGTGCAAAAGTCTTAGGCAGGTGTGAAAAAATGCTGTAAATGAAGAATGCTTTCAGGAATAGAAGTGTTCATAGTTGAGGATTATCAATTAGGACAAGAGCACCTGCTGACATTTTTCTGCAGCCCAATTTCTATGTTTTAGTGCCGTGATCTCCGAACTGCGGCCCTATGCTTGCCTTTATTCGTCCGTTGTGGCACTATTCCTCCCACTGACACCAATGATGGGGCACTATTCCTCCCAATGACACCAATGGTGGAGCACTATTCCTCCCAATGACACCAATGGTGGAGCACTATTCCTCCCAATGACACCAATGGTGGAGCACTATTCCTCCCACTGACACCAATGGTGGAGCACTATTCCTCCCACTGACACCAATGATGGGGCACTATTCCTCCCACTGACACCAATGGTGGGGCACTATTCCTCCCACTCCACTATTCCTCCCACTGACACCAATGGTGGGGCACTATTCCTCCCACTGACACCAATGGTGGGGCACTATTCCTCCCACTGACACCAATGGTGGGGCACTATTCCTCCCACTGACACCAATGGTGGGGCACT